TGTAAACGCAGAAAAATTTGCCGTCTTCTTATTAGTATATATATATTGCTATTATTTAATTATTCATTGAGAGATATATTATTGTAAGAAGTTTATATTACTTTTAAATTTCGTCACACGCTTTTCACAAGTACGTATATTGGTAGAAATTTCTGCAACCGAGCTGAATGCATAAGAGTTTGAATTTTGTTGTTGCATCTCCCCTAGTCGGATTAACTACAATGGCAGTTGCCACGACTTTCCGTTTCAGGGGAAACCGTAGCTCCAGTATGAAGTGGAAAAACTTTTGTTGCGTTATCACGAAATTGAAATGATTGCGGCGCTATTAACAGGTAGCGAGTATCGCTGCGTCTGGGAACATAATTTCTACGATTATTCCACACGCTACACTGCGTCCAGTCATTTTACTGACTGTACACCGCTACCACGCAAATTCATTCCGCTATCAATTGTACGTTGTATTATCATTCGCTATTATATTCTGTTTCCTTGTAACATCGTTGTCCGTTCGCGTTCAAATTCAGCCGCGATTCGAGCACTTACCTGCTATATTGTTACTGCAGCGGAAACAGATTTTGGATTTCAGCCGCTGACCGTCTGTGACTAAATCGAATTTCCAGTGGAACTGCGGCATTTTTACTGCGCTCACTTTTATCGCGTAATTTTATCGTAAGGGAGCAGCTTGCAAGATCCCCGGAAAATAATTCACCGTAACCCCGAGATTCCACGAAATAAAGTTTAAAAGTCCAGCGAGATAGGAACCGGAAGTTTGCATGGAGATACTTTTCTTGTCGCATTTAGTGGTAACATCCGAAAGCATTAAGCTCCTAAGTCGAAGTCGTTAAATAAAATGTATTCAAATGGAGCGGAAGCGTGTGGTTTGTAATTATAGTTCTGCGTTTCATTAGGATAAAGTACTCCTCTGCCTTTGTATAAAATACCACGGACAACTTCTGCTAATGAGCTTTATTTCACGAAGTTAATGAATTTTGAAAACTATTGTTAGAATTGTCTATATAATTTGGTTGAATATTTCTGTAATTGTTTCCTTTTTATGTTAAAAGCAGAAAATCAGTTTTTGGACTTACACTGTATGGAATAAAACTAGGAAAAATAAAGTATTGAAACAATACATGCGAGTAATATAAGCAAACATCATCGATCATCGGCCTTCTAAAAGAAAACAGTTGTTGAAGAATACGAATTCTTTCTATAAATCACTGAACAATAAAAATTAATTAATTCATACAATTTCGAATTGTAAATGGTAAACAGTTAAATCAAATTCAAATGTAATTTACGCGTACCTAAAGGAGAGAATTCCAATTAGATCCGATGTCATATAATTTCTACTTATATAGGGTGAGTCACTTAATTCTTTGACCTTAATTGTTCTCGTAAACTACATGTTGCGTAAAAATATGTTTCAAACAAAAGTTGTTCGTTATACAGAGAAGCATACACGGCAACGATTAATGTTAATGCAAATATTAGTCGATTGTGAGTTTCACTGAAATTATGTGTCAATAGAGTTGCCACCATTTTGTAGCAACGCCTTGAATAATAAATAAATAATCTATCCTTCGTAAAAGTTGTTCTTTTCATCAAAGTTTCTCGCTGGATGTATTTGTGCACGTTACATGTACATATATGACATAGAAATACTTTCGTCTCTCGTTGTATAGGTACACAAGTTTGCACGGGCGGCACAGTGAACGTGTTTGTTTATGTGACATTAGGAGTTGTGTTTCGAAGTTTAGTATGTCAAGAAACGCTGGAAAGAGTGTACAGCGATGAATCGCTCGTAAATTACCTGTAGATACCTTCGTACATTTCATGTACGTTTCAGAATCAATGACTTGTAAATGCAGTGAATATTGACAAAATGATCGCGATGTGCGATGTTTGGTTCAAACTTCCTAAGATAACAGGATGCGTTGCACCCCTTTGTCAACGGCCATCGTCGAACGACCATAATAGTGCGTGCAACGAAACAGTAATTTTTAGTAAATTATAATTTTCAGCAATGTCATTCTAGAGTCGATGACAAAATATTTGAAAGATCGTTAAGAAAGAATGAGAGTTCCTTAAATTGTATCGAACGATTCGAATACTTTTTGGGATATTAGATTACTAGATAGTATTTCTTTGCTTGTAATGAAAATTAAAGCAGTGTATAGATGTTAATAAGTTGATTAAATGCTGAAAGTGTCGCCGAAATTGATTATGAGCAGACTGCGGATTTCATGCAATATGGCGTTTTTAGTTGATCAAAGTTATTAGAGACAGTGTTAGAAATCCCTGAGTGACTTCTGCTTCTTGCAACAAATGCAGAACATTTTCATTTTGCATAAAAGTCCGCGGTCTAATCGTGAGCTAGAATGATCAAAATGGTGAAAACGAATTCTAAAACTATAAAAATAAAAAGGTTAAAAATAGTTTTAACCGTAGAAAATATAAACACATTCGTAAATTCTTCGTCATGTTTTTGGTTCATTTGAGTCACCAATGCTAAGTTCTTTTAAAGTAATAAAGATACTAGAATTAGACAACGACGAATTGTTTTTGTTAGTTCAATTAATAATTGAGCAACACCGTCACGATATTTGATCACTGTGATATTATCTATTACACTGATCAATGTTAAGGGTTAACGATAGTATAACTGGTGAAACGAGATCAACTTTTAGGCAACGGCAAATCGGTCGAGAGCAAATCTACCGAGGGCGAATCCCGAAAAGAATCCCGAAAAACTTCCCAGGCGAAAAACCCGCTTTCGAATGATACCTCGGACACTTGTGACAGAAATCGGAATTCTAACAATCCGAATGATGCTAAGGAAAAGAGACAGGTTGTGCAACAAACGAAACCGGTGTCCTCGGAAAAAGCACAAATTTCTCCTGCTATACCAACTCTTAATCAGAGCAGGTACAGAGTTTCTAAAATACTAATGGTCTTTTAGCCTTATTATAAAACAATGTTACAATGGTTACAATGTTAATTTTACAGTTAATCTTTGATCTTACAATCGCTTACAAGGTCGTTACAAATTATTTATTTTGTGCGATATACTATTTCATATTATTTTATAATTATATTCAAGATGAAGAATTTATAATATTGTAATTGAAAATGCAAATAGATATGTAAGAAGTAGTCATTATTTACTACTGTTTCATTAATATTTCAGCTATCTTCCCGATAACTGTGTTACATATATTATACAAACAGCTTAATAATATATATTTTAAATAACGATCTTCGAAATAATTATTAGATCTTATATCTCTTGATTATCAACATAGTTTACGAATTAAGATGCTAATCGTTATTCAACAATTTATTAACGAAACCTCAACTTATTTTCTATTTATGTTTAACGCTAAACCTGCCACGGTCAATTTTATTGCTCGGTATGTTTAGTGTTTTTACGTTTAAAGAACTAAGTATTAGCTGAACTGTGAAGTGTTAATAAAATCAGTTAACAGCATTTTAAAGCAATTGGTATAAATAAAACTGATAAACAAGCGATCTTAGTTAATGTACCGCGGTATTTTTTATTTTCTTTGTTCTCTACTAAGAAAGTAATTATGGCTATCTTAGATGATAAAATACTTTTAGCAGCATCGTATATAACACGTCTTCACTGTTTTAGGATATCGGGAAAAAACCACTTAGAAAATATCACAAATGCACCTCCAAGTGTTTGTGATGGATCTGTGAGAGTGGTCCAGGCAGACATTGAAGTGCATCCTGAAATGCACTTATCACGTAATCAGGAGTCTTTGGACTCGACTAAATATGTGTCATTTCAGGCTGATCAAAATTGCTTAAATGTCGAAAAGGCGAAAAAACGAGCGTCATTTTTAAAGAAGTTGAATTTCAAGAGGATAAAAACTTGCACGAGGTTTCTATTTTATCACTGTATATTCTCACAATGCAATGTTCATTGAAACGAGGAATTTTTAATATTATCGATGACTAATAGATCGGTAATACTTGGAAGAATAATTGTAACATAACCTATTCAACTTTAGTCACATTTATAAATAAACCGCGGATTATTATGTAATATACAAATCTTCCGTATCTGTTGCAATAAAATAGTATTTAATAGGTTTGGAGCTAATATATTGACATTATCAAATGTTTTTAATCTTTCTACTGTCTGGCATTACGAATACTCATTTTTCTCATAAACGCATTAAAATCCGCAGTGTATTTACTCGTGTTATTTTCCCTAATGTATTTTTTGGTGGGTTTCGCGGAACCATGTCATCTAACAGTTCTCAAAACTTATCGTCTTTACTCGATTGTAAATGAAGAATTTTTCGTTACGACGACTTACTTACTAGAAATGGAAATAGCGTCTTGATCTTTAGAAAACAATTGTCACGCATTTAAGTACATGTATATAACAATTTAATAACTCGTACAAGAGAATATAAAGCTGTACCTTGGTTTTGCGTCAGCAATTGTAGCAATTAATTTCTAAAAATTGTAAAAAATATGTTTACAGAAGCAAGACATCCATTCCAGCGGCGCAATCGACGATGCTCCAGGACGGTAAAGCAGTCAATGCATCGTCATCGAACAGAATAAGCGCCAATATTCTGGAAACAAAGTCGCAAGACGTTGGCGCCTCCGCGAAAGAAACTGGTCTCAACGGAAATGGCGAATCTCGGGAAGAAAATTGCGAACGGCGGCCTTCGAAAACGTTGCAGGAAATTGTGCCGCTGATAAACAATCGACCCGCGGGCGAGAAATTAATGTGCAACATCAGGATCAACGGTCTCGCGATGAATCAAACCGACTTGGATCTGTTAGAATCAACCGAGGGCAAGACTCGATCGGTTTCGATGACGACGACCGAAGAGACTTTCGTAATTTCCATAGAGTTCGATCGGCGAAGGAACTTTAAGGAAAATAAGCCGCAAAAGCAAACGAGAACACCTAACGTCGTGATTCCACCAATATACGTCACGGACTACTCGACTAAGCGAAGCTTCGCGCAACACTCCTAATTGTATCCCACGCAGAAGAACGCCTCCGAAGATCTTCTCGAAGACGAAGATTACTTAAGATGTTACCTTTCCCTTCTTCCCGAAAGGAAAGCCTGCGACACGTCGCACGGAAGCAATTAATTTCTTGTTAATTTCTGCGAATCCGACCAGGAATCCCGACCAAGATTCTTGATTCAGTGATCGACACCAGGAATTAACGTGATCAGTGTTGTGCAGGAATTTTAGCGAGAATTCTTGCTGCAGATGCGTTGTCTCGGCAGTTATGAATCGATGCGAGAAAAGAGATTCATGATGTAAAAATGGGGGCGAAGGATAATGATTAATTGCGGCACTGTGTAGCAATATGGCGAGCTCGTAGATCACGTTTCCGTCAACATTAGCGGCTGCGAGCTTGTTAAACTTGTAAAAATGAAACAAACGTTCCGGTAATCGTAAACAGTGCTTTCGGTATCGCGAATTTGAATTAAGCACCACTTACAATTAGCGGATTGCGAATATACGTACGTTGAACTTTAAACAGCCTCATTTACTAACCGAACCTCGTTCGGTGTAGACAACCGATTGCTTTATCTTCGTTCTATTTGCTCGCTGTTTTCTACTGCGTAATAAACAAAAATCTTGAATATTTTTATTATATTTTTCCTATCATTGTATTTGTTCAATAACCTTTTGTCAAGGTTTAGGAAAAGTCGCGTTACATGAGACTCCTATTTACATACCTCGATTAGAGAACTCATACAAAAATTGATAGAAATATATATATATAATTTAAAACAGATGTCAATATGTAAAATTTTGTATTATTACCATCGTCAATTCAAACAGTGACCCCTGTCGCAATTAACATGTCAAACATGGTTGTACACTGTAATATATTATATTATATATATAATATAATAATATTATATTATTATATATATTAATTATTATTTATTAACCTTAGCAAGAAATATAAGAGAGTCTCGATGAGGATTTATGATTTCTAGAAGGAATGGGTCTCATATTAGGCAATGTTATCCTAGTATTAAAAATTTGCTATATGAGTTAAATATCCTGTTGCTATTTATATTAATCGCGATTATTAGATCGAGGATATTATGCATATGCGGGGGGAAATAAAATAGTGAAACATTGAAAAAATTAAAAGACACTAAAAATGTTGATACATTAATTTTCTTGTCCCCTACATCTGGCAATCGATGCAGACAATTTTCATTTTGCTTGCGGCAGTGTAGCGATTATCGAGATTGCCAACTGTACAGCATTCCTATCTTCCTTTTCGTTCGTAAACAACGCGTTTATGTTACTATAAAGCATGTAATAAATCGACAGGATTCCTATCGTGACGTGTTTCCCAATAATGCATGGAGACACGATAGTTGGTCCACGTAAACAGGTGTCACACACGGCGCCATCAAACGCGCGCCGTAAAAATCTCGGGAAGATTAATTATCCAGGAAACAGGAGGCGGAAGATCCTACGTGTCGTCGTTTTCTCGAGACAAACGACTCGGTCGGACGTATTCGGAGATCCTATCGTTAACGATAAAACCGCCCGTTCTCCGGCGCCATTCTATTTGTTAGGCCGACCCCCGTTCGAATTCCTTTTTTCTCCCCGGGCCATTCTACTCTGCCACCATTAGTCCCTCTTTCTCGCTACCGATGTCTCGCGATTTTTCTTCCTTTCCCCGATACGATTTCACCTTTTTTCGCGCAGCCTCGATTTCTTACAATTTTAAGGAAATTATGATGTACGTATTGTTCAGTTTTCTCAACACAGTCCCCGAGGCGCCGTCGATATTCCCCGGGGAATAATATTCTCAGCCGTTTGAAAATCCTCGTCCGCAAATGATTCGACTAAGTTACCATTTCTCTTTACTCTCCATAAAACGAAATTTTCAGTTATCAAAATGAAGGATCCCGCGTAGATGGAAATTGTGCACAAACAATCGTCCGTAATCGAGTACTAAATCATGCTGCTGCTTCTTCCCGCGAATCTCTGCTGCTCGTTCAATCATCCCCTGCTCGTCCCGTCTTCGCCCGATCGCTTCCAGAAACATCCAGATCACTCTTTCCAACCTCGCCGGCAGCTTCTTCCGTGGAACACGACCTTCCGAGAGTCAAACTTAATCAGACGTCTCGGTCGGGACATCAAAGGGGCTAAAATTTGTCTTTTGATCGTGGGCCAGATTCCGATCGGCAAGGAGGACTCGTCCCGTCACCGGTCCGTATTTAAATGGAAATCAATGCGCCTCTTTTGATCGAGATCCAACGAGCTTATCTCTGCCTTCGCGCGCGCCTCTCCGATCCGCTCTCTCTCTCTCTCTCTCTCTTTCTCTCTTTATCTCTCTCTTGTACGTTGACCCGTTCCAGTGCGTCCTTCCTGTTCCTATTTATCACGCGGCCGGCCTTCGGTGTGTTCCGGTTCCGTTTCCGATAGCTGCTAATGCATGTCCGTCGTTTCGTTCTGCCTACCTGCGCGTTCCCGTTTTCCTTCGTTTCCGCGGCGCGGCAGGAGCCGGCTCGTCGAACGTGGAAAAAGCTCGCAAGAGCATTTAAACGGAATTACTTTATCCTTCGATCCCTACGGCGGCGTTTCCGAGCGACCGACCGTGAGACAGCCCCCGATAAGGGAAGCCTTTCACAGTTCGTACTCGTGCGAGCACCTTTTACCGGAGTGCATGCCTCCTGATCGATATTTCCTTGAATCGAAACTATCGAGATAGGGCGGATGCGCCGTTCTATGGAAAACTCGCGAGTCCAGAGATATCCAACTGATATGTCATTTCTGCTTTTTAACCTTTTCGTTACGCCATGGTTGCCCGATAGCACGATGACAGCGCGGCGAGGGACAGCTCGGTCGCGAATGTACACTTTGGAAAAGCTCTCTAACGACTGATACGCTTTCGTACAGGTAACCCTCCTGTAACACGGTAGGTAGGTTTCTAGAAAATGCCGTGTTGCGTGAAATCGTGTTACACGAGGAGCAGAGTTAGCACAAAAAGGGACGTTGCGTACCGAAAACTTATCAAAAAGCAAATATTTTCTTTAATTCCATGTAGGCAACTTAACGCTTATTAAAAATATAAACGTAAAAACGAAATACATTTTATGCAAGCGACGACAGCTGGCAGTTGTTCGGGCAAATTTCATCGTACGTATCGATCGGTAACATCGATATTTCACGTGCATATGCAACCTTCCGTGTCAAAGATATTCCAGACCGTTCAAATTAAACTGTCCATTGGCTGGTGGTACCTTGTAGCAAGGTAAACGCTCGACCCGGCGCGGCACAGTAGTCGCAAGCACGTTTTGTTCCCAGTTAGAATTCTCGAAACGGATGGCGTCCAGGGGGCGAATACAATCGCGAGAATCGGAGGACCCTTAAATTATTGTTGGACGGTGGCAGAGCGCGCTCGATACGGGGACGGAACCGAAAATTTCGCTATCGTTCGACATACGTGGATCCCTTATAAGACCGTTATCGGAATCGTTAGACCATCGAGTCTGGTAGCGATTTCGATATACTTGGGTTCGTGTCCTGGTCTCTATCGCGTTGGATATCCGGCCGCGGATCCTGGGTCTAGCAGACACCCCCTTTCGTGACCTGTCGCAGGATTTGCCGCCCCAATAAAAGGATTAACGGGACGAGGGTTAATCCTATTGGAAGGACCGTCCTCACACTCTCCGCGTACGAGCCGCCCCTCCCTTTCTCTTACTGTCTCTATTTTTGCTCTTACCGCTTCCATCCTTCCTCTCTCGACCCATTTACCACCTTTTCGTCTCTCGCTCTATTTCTTTCTTAACCCGCGACCTCCTCCCTCTCGTTTCTGGTTCGTTGTCCTCTCTATATTGCAGTCTGATTAGCGGCTGCCCCATCTCGTACCACTGACCTTAACGCTGATAGCGAACGATTATTTTCCTCCTGGATTATCCGGGACCTCTTATTCGATATAATTCACGACCTCGACGTTTTAGTCGCCACTTTCAACGCGTGTGCTTGCCAGCAAAGAATATAACGTGTATAGTATCTTTAATCCTCGTCCCGTCTTCATTTTACCAAGTCGATGTGTTGCACGTGTATCAAATCGACGTTGTCGATTGTCCTTTGGGTAGGATACTTTTAAATGACTCGTGTACTCGTTCTGCGTGTAGAATACCTCTTTATTCTTACTTCTATACTTTGTCTTACGACGAGTCGCGGTGCAGTGACAGTCTTCGTTTTTACACTCGCCGTTTGCCCTGGTAAAATTCTTAAACAACCCTGATTGGCTAACCCTACGCGTCGGGCCTTCCCAATCAGCGTTGTTTATTTGCCCTTTTTATCGCCTGTTCCTTACGCTCTTCGCGTATTTTCGGAACGGCGTGGTAATCGGAGGGGATAATGAGTTGGACGTGACAACGCGTGGAACTTTTCCTTCGGGTCACTCGCGTCGGGCCACATGGCCCTTGGGTCGCTGGGTCCGCTTCGAGTACCCTTCGGAAACTCTCCTAATTTATGACGGTCTCCGTTTGCTATTGAGGTATCTCTAGAAAAAACTCTATTGCGAACATGCGTGGTCAAGATTTGGGACTCATCATCTCAAAAATAGCTTCCAAAAACATTTTAATTTCTTTACTGTTTTAGATTGAAATGCATAAAATGAGCAGTCTATTTATAACGTCGATAACTGCGAAGTAACTAAACCTGATTCCCTTGCACAGTGTTAAATATATAAAGTGACAGACAGAGTGTCAAGGGAGACAGAGCTTAAAATGTTTGACAAATAAAATTTAATTCCGAAAATATGTTGTCACTGTGCAGAAGATTAGGCAGGATTATAAACTCTTCCTTCATATTAATTTTATAATTGACAATTTTACACTTGCAGTATAATTTGATGATTGCATTGGTTTAACGCGTGACGGATTTTGTTCGGGTGATATATGCTAATTGGTTTTAGCGTTTTACGGAAATTTTCGAAATTTCGCACTAGCTTTTGCTAATTATTTTGTCAATGAAATGTTTTTTGCTGTCCCACACTGTAATAATTATTATTTCATTACGGTTCGATGGTAGCTAATTCGTTGTCTTCTAAATGCCAAATTATAGAGACATTTGTGAATGAGATGTATATATATATAATTAATCGAGAAATGCCTCTGGAACATTTTCATATTGATAACTCGAAAAATGTGTTCATGCGACACGGCTCCCTTAAATAAAACTTTTGTTTTTAATTTCCTCCATCGTTCGATCTGCAAAAAAGAAAATCGCTTGCATGCTACGATGTCATCCTTCATAACAAATATATCATTTCTCTGATAAGTTCAGTCTCCTATAATAAATTTCGATATAGCGAGATCAAGGAGATACTGTGCAAAGATGTTTTACCGTAGGATGTGTAAGATTATTAAAGTCAGATCTAAGGATGCTAAATACTTCGAAGCATCGTTTCGTGCGCAAGAATTTAATATCTGAAGAATTTCAAGAATCCTCGACGAATTTCAACAATTTCCATCGCTCACTACCGGTTCTAGTAAATTAGAAATAAAACGATATCACAATGTATCAATCCCGTTCAAACATAAACTCCGGGAACGTGATTTTGATATTTCATAATCGATGAACTGCGTTGTTGAACGG